ATTGTTTTCTCTATCCAAAAACTAAATGCAAAATGTAGGATGGGGCTGTGCGGAAACTTTACCGAAAAAAAATTCATTTAATGCACGGATCAATTTTTTTTTGGCCGGGCTACAAGGCTTTGAGTGGTTACCAATTAAAAACAATATGGCGGAAGCCTGGAAGTAATTGGATTTTATGGCGGTAACAGTCGCTTTAGAGTCAATCTAGAAGCTTATGTTCATTAATATAAATTTTTTTTTAAGAAAATGGGTTCGCTTGGCCGCGCGCAGATCGGAATTTCGACGTTTTTTCCTTCTCCGCATCCAACAGATCAGTGCGGTACAAATGGACTACCACTTACTCCAAATTCCATCGTAATAATTGGTCGGTTTCAGCGATTGAAAACTCTTTACCATCAAAATGTGTGTCAGTATCTGGATATCATCAGAGCCAAACATGGTGAGTTTCTTTTGAAAAATGGTAAAAATCTTCTTTTGGAATCTTCAAAAACTTTTCACGAGGGCGATGTTTTGCAGGGGGCGGATTGTGTCTCTGAGGCCCTCATCTCCAACCATTCGATACGTTTCCACTCTGTTTGAGTGCACGACACTTGAGTTCTCTGCAGTTAATTTATTGTAATAATGTTAAGCATCACCAGGGTCTCGATATCACATAACTGTTTATGCTAAATAAAGGATGTGAACACCAACAAAAATAAAATGACTGTTAATTAATTATGATGATTAAGAGAGGTTATACTGTATTGAATTGTTAATATCTTTTCAGAAAGGCTCATAGTTGCTGAGGAGTTCTATTCTGAAAATTTACAGCTTGCTTTGAAAAATGGTAAAAAATTTAGGTGAGTTTTTTTTTTGCAGATGATCGGCTAGTAATAAATTAAAGTACCCTTAACCCTTTAACTCGTAGAGGTGATTAAATTGTAACTTCTCCCTATAACATCCATACATTATCCAGCAAACAGGTAATGAGAATAATCAAACTTATGGGTTAAAAGCTGCTATTTTGATCTAACATAGAATTCTCACAACTAATTTACAAGGAAATGTGTAACAGCTAGCAGAGAGAATTTAACAATCAGATCTTGGGAGTTATAGGGTTAAAAAAAAGGAATGATCAACAGACTTTGAGAGAATTGCCCTTATTGCAGTAGGTCATCCACAAGCTTTTTTCTTCATTTGATGTGATAATGTTGGGTTCACTTGTGGAGACAAATATTTAAAGAAACAAATATTGTTCAACAATTCTATTTTTTTACTTCAACCTCATGGTCCAATTTTTCTCGTCCCCCCGATGGTCACATGACTAAAGTACTCTGGGGACTGGGGTGGGGTAACTGTCTGCCCCTTATAACAACAAAGAAACACTACATTTTTGAAGAAAACATTCAGAATATATGCCAATTATTTTTTGATAGTGTTTGAATTCAGATGTTATCAATTAATCATTAATTTTCATGTGATTTTTATCTTGCAGTTATACTGATATTAAAACAATTGCATTTCAAGTTGTTCAAGGCCTTTCCTTTCTCAATGCACATGGCATTGTCAATAGGAATTTGTCTCCTGTGAACATAGTATTTACTCCAAAGGTTAGGATCTTTACAATTCATGGTCACGATCAAATGTCTTTTTGATTTTTGATGCACCAAATTCCAGTCCATTCCATTCCCATCATCCGTATGATTCTCACGACAGTTTGCTTTATTTGTTTATACTTCTTAGTGGATTGAGGCACTGTGAGAGTGAGAAGTTTGCACAAGAAAACAACTCAATTGATTCAATGCTAGCTTCAAACCAGGCCTCTTGATCATGTGTCCAGTGTTAACCACTGAGCTTTAACATCTTTCACTGCTTTATATTGTAGTAATTACTTATAATTAAGTTCTGTTTATCTTTGTAGAGTAATGAATATGTCTTTTTGATTTCAGGGTGGAGTCAAATTATCCAGAAGTTGTTTATATCACATGACTGGTTCTGGGGCTCGAGTTGCATTTCCAATTGGGTAAGCTGTATATTATTTAGTGCTCTATGTATATGTCAGAAGAAAATGTATATGAGAGATGACAATGATTTAAAAGTTTCAAGTAACAGTTTATTTGATAATGGTTAAAGTTACTAACTCTGATTAACTTTGATGAAAATAATGTGGCTTACATATTTATTGACTGAAAAGTATTATTCTTTGTGGATGCAAAAAAAAAAGGGGTTCGTAGCTCAAAACATATCAACTTTTTTGTGCAGTTCTCCAGTATTCATGGCTCCTGAGGTGGTTTTAACAGGCCAAGGCCTCTCACCTGTATTTGGACCATCAGGACCAAAGGTATGCATTATTTACTGTCAATAAGAGCATTTATTAATGTGATATTGTTTTGAAGTTTTAATTTGAGGGCACACTCTAAAAGAAAAAAGGTGATTTGCAATGTTCTGTAGCTAGTTAATATATTTGTTACCCTAAGCTCATACATGTAAGGATTTCACATTAGCCCCATGACCCTTAAGAGTAACCAGTATCTAATTTCTCCTTACAATTTCACCCCTGAATCACACACTTAAAGATTACAAGAATAAAGGAAATGATAACCAACTAAAGCTGCTTGTGTTTGTCAAACAAATTTTCCTTGTCAGCCCCATAGTAAATGTATAGGGAATAGTATGGAGAATATGCATACTGATGTTAGGGTGTAAAGGGTCAAAGAATGTGGGAAAGTATTTAGAATAAAGTAAATTACAAATCAATCCAGTTTGAATCATTTTGACTTGAAATTTTGAACTTCTGCCATGACTTTCAACTTGGATATTGATTGAAAGTTATTGTCATTTTTTCAATTTTGCCTTATTTTAGGTTGATGTTTGGTCTTTGGGGATGGTTTTGATTTACCTGATATTGGTAGGTACAGATTTCTATTTAATAAGTAAATTAGCTTTGGTTTTTTCATTAACCCTTTTCTACCAAGAGTGCACAGAATCTTGCTTTTTTTTTTTCTCCTCATTCATTCTCAGGAAGGGTCTTTGTGGGCAAGTGAATCTGAAAACAACCATGTACAAAAGATTTTCTTGAAAGTTCTCTCTCTTGTAAAAGGTGTTCAAGGTAGGTAGTGCTATGTTGTGCACAAACTGTTGTTAATTTTAGCAATATATCAGATAACAGAATTTTTCAAGTTTCAAGTGAAGGTAATGACAATTAAAGATGAGTTTTATATAGCCCATTCTCCATATGAATGTGCTTTAATGCACTTTACAGTACTCTTTGGGGGACTTAAATCAGACTTCATTGAGCAGTTTACAACTTTTGATAGGGAATTTTCCTAGTCCCCCCAATTTAGGAATGTTTGGAAACAAGTCCAGTACACTACGCTGGAAGCTATATACCCTACACCTTGCGATAATTGCATGGGTTTTTAAGTCCCCTGCTGACCAGTATGGAGAAGAGGCAGGAGACAGAGCCTATAGTTTATCATCCTCATCTGAAAAAAAAACTAGAATGTCTTTAGAACCATTTGCAGATGTCCTAGCAAAGGTAGAACATTCTCTTGAGTGAACTTTGTCCAGTTTAGGGCTTGAACCCTCACATCATGGCAGTCCAGTGCTCTCCAACATGAGCTTACCAGGCTGCAGTAGTTTTACTGCCTAACCAGGTTTTTTAATTTCCATCAGATTCTTCAATTGATGTTCTTAAACTTCTCTTTGATGACAACCATGCTCTGGAAAAACTCCAGGTTAGCAACATTCAAGAGGAAAGTGCATTTGAAAATTCTTCATATTATTTATAAAAATAATTTGATTAAGGTTGGCATGTTTTGGTCTTTATTTCCTGTAGGAAATTCCTTCAGATCTGGCTTCTTTTCTAAGAATTTGCCTGACAGTGGATGTTGCCAAAAGGTTTATTTCTATTTAATATCTCTTTACCTTTTTATTTATTTACCTTACATTTATTCCTGTATGGCGATATGTATACAAAAAGATACTTTGATCCACAAACTCATGAAAGTGGTACCGGTAACAGCACTTTACTTACATATGTTCCACAGGCTAGGCCAGATAAGCGTAAACCTATAAAACTTAGTAATCATTTGACCTTTAAGATAGGGAGAGTGTTATTCAACAAGTGATCCACTCTTTCATTTTTGTCTTACCAGTAATTTATAATGCTGCTAATTCTCTCTTGGTAAATGAAAATGTATTAATTAAATGTTTTTTATCCCTAGGCCTATCCCATGTGAGTTACTGAATCATGAAGTGTTTGCCAACTTTGATAAAGCAAAGGTAATTTTTATCAGGACTCTTGTTTGAAAGGGCCGACAATGCCATCCCACAGATAAATCGCTTTTATATTTTTTACTCTTCAAGTCCCATGAGACTGTTTTTCAACTCAAAATGCCTTGACTATGTCTCATGTAACTGTCTGATTTTTACATGCCATTACCTTGTTTATATTGTAAAGATAACTTCATGGTTCCCACCAGGTGAAACTAACCAATGGATTTCAAAAATTTCCTGCTGAATTCAACTTAAAAGAACTTCCTGTTGGTGATTTTCAAAATGATGATTTATTGCAAGGTAAGATGGCTAATCTCGTCTGTTTAAAGATGATTACAATTTTCAAGATGACTATATGTGTGCTGTAGGTGAATTATTTCCCTTACAGTGAAGGATACAATAGTT